GTAGCGATGCACTTGTTCCTAGTAGCTTATTGTTTCTAATTGAATTACTGTTTCTAATAGCTTCTTGTTACTACTAGTAAGGTGCACTTGTTCCTAGTAGCTTATTGTTTGCGACTTACTGTAAGTTTATGTTCCAGGACAAAGCCGATGCTCAGCCGAAGACTAGTGCCTCCCATGTGGAGGCTTGCTCACGGCAGTTGAAGAACGAAAGCAGCAAGCGATGTCAGTAGGTCCATCAGTAGGTCCATCTCGTTGGAATAGCGAGTAGCAAAGTGGATTTGTTCTTTTTCTTTGCAACCTTAATCCACCGTTGTGAGCTGAATGGTGAGAGATCCAAATAGTATGTGTCAGGTGGAACCAGAGCCGGAGACCAAAGAGCAGGCTGGTCTTTGAGATCTGAACAGCGGCCAAAACAAGAATCAAACAGACTCATTGAATTCTCCTAAGAGGTCAACTCGCATTCTCTTGCCACCCATGTGATGAGGAAACACCCCAGCAAAGCTGCGAGAACTCGCACCGTCCAAGCCGCTTGTAGCTACTAAAGGCCGCAGTTGTGCCTTTAGCAGGAGGAACTACCCTCAGCTTGGCCTTTGTGTAAAGGAGCTGAGCAACACCAAAAAAGGAAAAACGGCTTACCCAGAGATACCAAGAACCAATTTGTCAGGTACTGAGCCACTCGCAGGGCTGATTGGGATGTCGTGGGTTATATAGCATCTCAATGCCTCAACGGGACCCTCAGATGACCTGCACCTTGCTGCATGCAGGTTCAAAAGGGGCCCTACATCTTCGCCTCATGCCATGAGGATGTGCTGGAGTACCTCCAGCCACAATACGTGTGCTTATGCCTTCCGGGCTCCGCCCCACGACTGCTCAAAAACCCTCATGAGGGGCAGCTGCCGTCACTGCATGCGACCATCACAGGGGTGACCGAGCCCATTGGGCATCACCTGGTTGGAAGCTGGATGCCCAAGAACAAGAAGATTCAACCTTTCCTCATCACGCACAAGGCGCCTTCGGAATGCATTCGTGTTTCTCTCTTTTTTCTCCGCGATGGAACTGAAAACGAAGAATTGAGCCGAAGTTCCCATGTCACAGATGTCACGGGCCTGCAAGAGCTTACTACAAGAGAAACTGTATGTTAAAAACTACTCTCCTGTGTACAGGTGATTGTAGTATGCACGCTTGAAGCTACTGACATGTGAATAAGTCCCTGCCTAGTACGAGATTCGTTGGGTCATCCCGCTTGGCGTCGAGTTCGGCTGCTCAGGCCAGTGTGAAGCCGAACCAATTCACGGTGTTTTTTGAGGGAGGTGGCAAGATTGTCGCTTGTCGCCATTGAGGGCTTTGGACATGTTCTAGTGTCGGCCAGAGAATTTTGCTTGTGTTGAGTGGAACTGGAACCTGCTGCGGAAGGTGAAGCGTGCACGAAATACAAAGCCCCCAAAAGCAGTTTGCAAGCTGCTTCTATTTGGTTGGAGGCTACAAACTTTACAGAATAATGTGTCATGCAGTTGTCATGATAGATCTCATTCGAGTTCGGGGATCCCTAAGATTCCTTTTTGCGGTGCTTCATGGGGTCCGTGTTGGGGCCGAGGCTTGGCTTGGACAAGAAGCCGACGGGACCTTTGTGGGTCAAGCGCCCAGCATCCACATCTAATTAAGAATTGTATAGGAAGTTCATTTTTAGTATCATTCATACATTATATATAGTCAGTATAATGTATACTGTATATCATAGATTTGGCGCGACTGAAGTGAATTCCTTCCTTTTTGCTCCCAAGAGCAGGGGGGCAACTGCCTGCAGCCGTCTCCTTCCGCGAGTGTTTGTTGTTTGTTGCACAGGTCCACCTGCACTGAGGCAGTGGCAAAATCATGGGTACGACGAAGACGATGCGAATCACATCGCTAAGCCCCTATGAGCTGAGTCTTGAGCTCGACAAGGGAGAACCCGTGAAGGCACCATCAAGTGCGGTCAGAGGGTTTGATGTCATTGAGCCCTGAGTTCTTCGACAAGAATCACGTCAGCGATTCAAGGTTAGCTGTTTGAGGTCCCCACATCAGTACCGATATACCATGACAAGTACCATCATATACCTCGCAGACGCTTGTGAACTCAACGGCGATATCCGAAGCCCCAGGGCCGATGCTTTCGAGCCTCACCGGGGCTTGTCCGACCTGCCTCTCCCCAGGCGGAGCGACGGCGCATGCCGGCGAGCCATCAAATCCATGCCCTCACGGCCGACCCGGAGGAGTCGGTAAAGGCGACCAGATCCATGGCATGGAAGGTGGCACTGGGGTAGGTGTTTCCCCTTCCCGGGGGGTTTCCCCTTCCTGAAATGGTGTTGTTCCTTCCCGCATAGGTGTTTTCCTTTCCATGGGTGTTTTTCCTTCCCGGAGTGTTTTTCGTTCCCTACCAAATGTTTTTTCCTTCCCTTGTTGATCTTATTGTGCTGGTATATCGCCAAGTTCTAATACTCGCTTGGTTTTCAATTGAATCTCCAACTGAAGCCAAATTTGCAAAGGCTTCTGCGAAACAGCACCCAAAGCGGTAATGCACCGAACGTCGTAAGATCGACGGAAAAAACATTGGCTAAAATCAAGGGTTGTTCTTTGGCGCCAGCTCTTTTTACCATAGTTAGTACACATGCTTCGCCTGACAGCGTCCGCAAACTCAAACATAGAACCAAACAAAGAAAGACATGTATAAACAACTTCGACTGTTGCATTGTGAGCGCATGTCACCCATGTATACAAAAGACGGCTTGTTGAACAACAAAATCTCAAATGTAGCGATGTAATGTCTTCCCGCCTGTGTCTTATATCTGTGCTACGAAACGTCACGCGCTAAAGGTGTCAAATGTGAAAACCTTGCCACATCAACTTTTTAGACCATGTAAACACAAAATTGAAAGCTTAAAAGGTCTAAATGTAACGTTTTTACCTCTGAGCTCTGCATAGTTCAGACAGGATAGATCAAACGAGCGAAACTTAGACCGTTTCTTCTCCTTGTGCCCTTTCCTTTCTTTTCATTTCCTATTTCTTCGATAGCCGGCCGCAAGCTAGACTTTGGAAACAATACACACTTTCTAGGGAAAAATAAACACCCTTTCACTTTTTCATACAAACCCGGAACGCTGGGAACAATACACACCTTTCAGGGAACAATAAACAGCAGCGGCCCCACAAAACACATTCAGGGCCTGAAAAACACCAGCCGGGCACCAAAAACACCGCGGCGTACGGGAACGAAAAACACCAAAAACTCCCAGGGAAGGAAAAACACCCGAGCAGGAAGCCAACACCTCCCGGGAAGGGAAAACACCATTCAGGGAACGAAAAGCCCGTAGCCCGTGGCACTGCATTGAAGCGGGGGGCGTCCCAGTAGCCAAGAAGAGAGGATTGTCATTGATTATACAACTTTGGGGTAAAGTTGGTAAAGGATAACAGTAAAGGCCGTTACTTACCATCATCATAAACGTTACTGGTAATGGATGATATATCCAAGGACTATGGATGAATATGGTGGAATGGTCGAAATGAAGAAACCGGAATGACCTTTCACCCGTGTGGGTTTGGACTTTTGGTATAGGTGTCACCGCGGCCTGCCACAGAAGTCACCAGTTTGAGACATGACGGCTTTACTTGCACAGGTTGGCAACTGGTGTTTGGGAATATCCTTTTCCCTAGCTGACCTGATGGTACATGACCATCCTTGCGTATTCAATGCTGGCACAAGCCCTCTCTTGAGAGCTTTCGAACGAAGTTGCTCTATAGTTGCAATTGAACAGGAACACCAATGTTTTCTCATATTTCTCAAGCATGTTCAAAGTGATTGATTGGCATGTCAAACTTCCGTATGACTCACCTGCTTGAATGTCAGAGACGTCCCAATCCACTGCGAAACAGAGAGTCAAAGCTTGGGCCGAGGAGGGTGCTCTTTGGACTATGCCCAGTGCAGACGTGAACCTTGATCCAATTGATGCCATTCGATGCCATTCAATTTGTTTGAGCAGTCGTTTCCATTCGTTTACTATTGGTTGGTTGATTATATAGTAGGATAGTAGGGGGATGCCACCCCCATGAGCAACCAACAGGTTGTTATGGTACCAACTCGACCCCCCTATTATTCCCAAAAGGACATCATGGGTTTTTTGTAGAGCTCCAGCTGGCGAGTCGCGGCGAGTGTCCTTGTTCCCGTCTCGGCCGCTGGTCGCCGGATTTGGCCATCTCGCGAGGTTTGTCATCTTGTCATGTCACTTCCCGTGCCAGTTGCAAACCGATCTTCAGTGGAATCTGGTTGCCTTGCCGTGGTTCAACTGTGTTGCTCAGGACTATCTTGAGGCCAGCGGGTGGTATTTGCCAGATATCGCCATGGGCTCGAGCGACTCGAGCCGCTACAAAGGGCTGAGCCTCGGATGAAGAAGATTCTTCTTCAGATGTGCAGCAGTTGCGACTTGGGGGTTCTCACAATTTGAACATATGATGGCGTGACGTTCACAAGTCACAGCTCAGCACGCATTTGTGCTGGTGGTTCCAGTGATGTGCATATATACTGTACTGTAGATATATTGTATATAAGTGTAAGGGATGGGTCTTCAACCTCGCGCAGACTGGTCTCCAAGGTCTTTGGGTCAGTCACACTCCGTACGAACGGTGGATTTCCGCCCTGATGCGCGCCTGGAAAAGGCGAGAATGGTTCTTGGTCACATGGATGTTTAAGCGAGTTGTTCCCCGTCGCCTTTCGAACGGGTGAATGGATGCAGGTGGACAACGACCAGCGGTACCTGGCCAGCTACGTGGGGCTGGGGCCGAAGCTGGCGAATGTCGCGAAGTTGTTCCTGGTCGAAGCAAAACGGGTGCTCTACGGGTCGGCTCCACCGGGAGTCGGAGCTTAGCTGGAACTGGATTCCGGATGGGCTGATTCCGTGACGCATGTGTGGTTGCAAAAATGAACTTTAAATTACTAAGAGCAGTTTCAGAGTGGTTTCAGAGTAGATGGCACAACCCCCCAAGACATATATAATTATATCTGTATATTGTAGTGTTTGAATGTACATGGAAGTGTACCTAGAAATGTGTTATGGAATGATAGTATGCTTCGTTGTCGCCCTGTTGTTCATTTTTTTTATCGCTTTTCTCCTTGCCCATTGCTCTTCCCTTCTCCTTTCCCTTCTCCTTCCGTTTCTCTTTTACCATCACTTTTCTTTGGTTGTTGTTCCTTTTCTCTTCCTTGGCCTTGCCCTTTCCTTTCCCTTCCACTTGAATCCTTTATCCATTCCCACCACCTGCCTTTCCCTGCTTCCCTTTTGTTCCATTCCCCTGCTTCCCTTCCCTTCCATTCTGCGCTTTGCTTTCCTTGTCTTTCCTTTTTAGTTCCCTTCCCTTCCCTTCCCTTTGTTTCTGCATTCACTGTGCCTTCTCATGTTTTTTTCGCCCCTTCCTCTCCGTATTGCCCGTTTCCGGACACTCTTCCACGTACTTCTTCCAGGTGGATGTACCAGCAGGAAAAATTGTGGCACTTGTAGCTGCGAACCGTGGATAGAATGTGGGTTTTCTTGGTTGTTTGGCGTTCAACGCGTGCTCAAGCTTCTACTTTTGCATTCTATCCCCAACTCTGTGACCAGGTATGCTGCCTTGTTCTTGTTCAATGTTCCATTTCCTCTTCGCTTGTCCCTTTCTCTGCCCTTCTTTTTTCCTTTGCTTTCTCGTTTCCTTTTGCCTTCAGTTCTGCCTTGTCCCTTTCCTTTCCCTTTCCTTTTCCTTTCGTGCTTTGTCCATCCCTTTTCCTTTGTTTGCCCTGTTCCTTTCTCCATTGTAGTGTTCCCCCTTCCCCTTTCTTTGCCTTCTCTCCCTTCTTTGTACCTCTTCTCCTCACCGTTTATGTCATTAGTCCGGGGTCCAGAGGCAAGGTAGCAAGGCATTCCACGTACTTTGAACTTTCCTCGAAATGGCCAGCAGAATTGTCGTATGTAGAGGAAGACTACTGACTACAAGATATTCGACGCTCAGGACATAGACATGTGCACTTCCCGCATTCAGTTTTACTATTGGCAGTAGTTTACTACTGTATGATTTCGGAGGCCCAGAGAGTTTGAGCAATTGACCTTGTAGATTACTATTGTGGTGTGAGTCTTGTAGAAAGAACATACTGTATATCACAGATGGTCGCCCCAGCACATTTACGTATACATATATATATATATACTACACACATCCATGGACCTAACCTCGAACTTTCTCACCATTGCTTGAAGGTTGGACATCCCATTCATGGGATTGGTCACCCATCGGCTGGACAACTTGCCATTGCATGGAGGGTTCGCACTGGGCGTCATCACAGGCCCATCAGGAAGCGGCGCCTAGGCCCTAGTGACACTCCCTGAAATAAGCATGGAAGTGGTAAAATGGCTCCCTGGATGACCATTTTCGTCCGCAACCAGGTGGTTTTCCACTTCCATGATGACTTCAGGGAGTGTAGGCGTGTTGGGCGGACGGGCAAGTTCAGCATCCCTCAGAGGCACTTGAGACATCACAAGTCCGTAGGGAATCGATTTGTTCAGAGCCCGACGAGTTCAACTTTCACTGCAGCACAAGCGCTGCAGCACTGCAGCGCCCTTTGAACCAAGGCAAAGGAACTCTCGCAAGAGACAAGTTTGGGCCAAGCCCAAAGATTGAGTGGCCACTCGGCATCCAAAAAAGGATCCACCAAGAATGCTTCACCATGCGTGATGACTGTCAGAGAGAAGACTCTACCGAGAGAGATTTCATAGAATTGCTATTGGTTCAAGTGCTTTGTTGACCTTGTTTTCATGCGTCATGTACGTTGAGGGTTTGCCGCGGGTGCTTTACGGTCTCACACCGTTGGATTTACAACACCCAGGTCACGTGATCCCGTCATCGCACACTTCGTCTCCTTGGACGCTGCGACGGACCTACTCCAAGCGGCCAGCCTGGATTTGCTCACGGCCATGCGCCCGTATGAGACGCTGAGTGCCGGTGAGCAGGTGGGACGACGCACGACGCAAACGTGCAACGACACGGCAATGTCAGGAACATTGGTTCAACATGGTTCAACTATGTTGACCACACTGACGTACTCATTCAAGAAGCTATTGACATTCTATGTGTGCCTCTCTTTGCGATTGGAGGCCCGCGCGGACATGGCTCGTGTTCTGGCACTCGGTGTGAACTCATGCAAAGTCTTGATCCTTGACGAGTTCACATCTTTGGTCGACCGTGCCACGGCCATGAAGATGGCAAAAGGATTGCAGCAGCTCATCAACCAGAGGACCCCACCAAGACCTCGGCCGGCGCACCTGCATGTCTATAACTTACAGCAGTGAAGCAGAGGATTCATTTTCATGTAAACTGCCCGGTGGTACTACACAGGGGACCCATTCAAATAAAATAGTTGCATCATGTTGCATACATGTTTGTTTACATCAGTTCGCTCGGTGCATGCCCTAGGCCCTACTTGCTCGAATCCGGGAAATGATCATGTTAATAATAAATGATCATAAATGATCCACACTACCCGCGGTTCGCTCGCCAGCTCTTGTGAGAGTTTGTCAGGAAGCTCCAGGCGCCCATTGTCGTCGTCAGTTGCCACAGCGATTTTGTGCGAAAGACGCACGGCCTGAATTTTTGGACGCTTTCGGGACCTGAATCCAGGTGTGACTTTCAGCTCAAGGCCCGACTCAACCCCCCATTCATTTGGGGTCCTTTCCACAAACATATTGTGCGGCAGAGGGCAACATTAAATTGTCGGCCAAGATTTGCACATACATAATTACTGTATATAACATTATCCATGTTTATCATTTACCATATTGTGCCATCAAGAAATGATCCAATTGAGCTTAACGGACCCCCCTGTTAGGGTCCGGGTAAGGGTATTGGTTTCCATGACTCCCCTCTTCTAGAGATCATTTGAGATCCAAAATGTCCGGTCCTCACTGTCCAGTTTCATTGGGTGTGTCCCTGCAGCGGACGGAAACCACCGGAGGGGCCAACAAAAGCGGCCAGAAACGAGTCCACATGTCATGTTGAATTCCTAAGTGCATTCCACCGTGTGAGTGGCTAACTTTTTAACACTTTGAACCTGCCTGGGGCATCAATTGTCGTCAAACGAACAGGTGCCAAGCTGTTACTTTCCAGGAAAGGTCGAGGGGTCAAATTAAGCCATGCAGCTCTACGTCGCGGTTCCGCTCACATCTCAGGGTCTCAGGATGTCTCACGTTGTCTCAGCTCCGATGCGCAGCTGAGAAAGCCTTTTGAGGTCGGTGTTGGAGCCTGACTGGATCTTTGAGACCCACAACCACCGTGAGATGCTCAGAACGGCAAAAGGGAAAGCATCATCAGGATCCCTGTGTGTGTGCGTGTTTCAAAAACAGGGCTTGAAGAGAAGAGATTGTAGATGAGAAGATGCGAGAGGACAAGGGGACTCAGTGTTGCTACTTAGATTTGCGATTTGTGGAGCCTTTCGCACCCAAGATAGGCTAGCCAGGCCAGCCAGTCAGAGAGTTCGTGTGTTTTGCTCAGGCCTTTTCACCGCGCAAGTCCCAGAACAACCAGAACCTGAAATTCAAGAAGGCAAGAAGAAGCTGGAGGAGACGTTTGGTGTTTTTTTGCTTGTTAGTTGGCCTTCCGATGACGGCGTGAGTGACATGTGAGTGACTTGCCAGAGCTGACAGGAAGCTGTTGAGAACAAGTGCAAGGCAGAGAAGGAAATGGAAGCGTTCAAGAGTTTCATGCTTCAACACGCAGGCGCTAATGTTAAGCAGTTGGGTGCACCAGAAGCTTCCAACTCCCCGAGAGATTTGACAGAGTTTGACGTTTGAGATTTGTGTGTAGTTATGCTTACGATATCCAATATGCTGCCTTTATATATTTGATTATAATATGACGTACACACATATATTGATTTATACACAGTTCAAAACAAGTTGCGTACTAATGGGGGCGTGTTGTGATGATTTCTCATGATTCATGATCAATCCAAAGTCACTCCAGAGACCTTGGCCCTACCAAAGAGATCTTTTCAAAGTTTTTGTTGTTCCTTGGCAGGCGGAAATTTAATGGTGAGTGTGTCTTGTTTTTCTTGCTTAAACTGTTTTGAACCAAGCCACCGGTTGGATTGTCCGTCACCCAGAAAGTCGTTGACTGCCCATCGACAGTGCCGCAAACATTCCAGAACAGCCAGAAACGCAATCGCAAAACGTCCAATATGGGGGCCTTAAAACATCCAGGAACTTTTCACAGGACTTCATGCTTTTTTTCACAGTACCCCTCTTTTTCTGTTCCTGCACTGCTCATTGTAAGAGACACAAATCCGAGTTCAGGTCATTACGCATGAACCGCAAGTATTCAGATGAGTTGATTGGATTTCATCCATGGGAAAAGTGTTTCAGGCCAATCCCGAGGCAAATGTATGCTGCTGGCACGAGATCATACTTGAGGATGTATGATAGAGCCATCACTTCAAACGCTCTCTAGAATTGAGGGTAACCCGATTTGACACCCAAAAGTTCTCAAGATGCCTCATTGAAGATATTTGGCCGGCAAGCTTAAGCACCCAGGGGGCCAGGCCGCCACCCACGTAGCCACACATGTGTCCGTACGGTCCGTGCTTCTCCACCACGTAGCCACCCCTGATCCTGTCCTCGCAGGTCATTCATTCTTCAGCAACGTCTACCGGAATGAGGTCTCCGCCTTCGTGGGCGCTTTGCAGGCTCCGGTCATGCGTGGAATTTCATGCGGTGGACTGTTGCGTAACGGGTGTGACTGCTGAAAGATGAAGCAGTTTGCGAAAACCCATGTTACTAATAGCTTCTTGTTACTAGTAGTAAGGCACTTGTTACTAGAAGCGATGCACTTGTTCCTCATAGCTTCTTGTTACCCAAATATCACCAAAGGGTCAAAGGTGTGGTGATCAGAAGGGGCACAAACTAAGACGCCATGATGGTCATCCAATCGTTCCACTTTGTGTGAACGAGAGAAAGCGGCAGAACGGAAGAAAATCCGTTTTGCCAGGTGTTGGGTCGACAAGAGCTTCTTGCCAGAGAAAAAGATGTTTTGCAATTTCAGCATGAGCTTCAAGAGCTGCAAGAAAAGGCGGCCACTGGGAGGAAAGAGATCACGATACAGGCCAGGGTTCTTTGAGTGCGTGTCGATCTACACTTTGGCGCGATTGGGGCCAATTGCTTTGTTTGCAGAGGGACATTTTTTGAGGTGTGTGTGTGTGTGTGTCAACCCCTGTCCACAGGGTTTTCCATAGGATTCCTTTACATCAGCAGGGGCAAGGCCTCCAGCGATGAACCTCGTCCAACGAAGCTAAATCGCTGGAGGGGAAGCGGATGGAGACGTCCATTCGTGTACCTGCTTGGAGACCGGTGATGCAAAACTTTTTGAACCTCTTGTTCTCGGCCCTTTGTGAGGTTTGTTTCCAGGTTCCAGGTCGTTTCTGCAGTAAAGTGCTAGTGCATCCGGAACTCAGCAAACTGATTGAATGCTCGACCCGTTGAGCTTTATATCTAAGTGTGTCTCAGCGGCATCGTCCCATTGTGGTGTGCCGTGTAATCCCTTCGGGGCGCGTCCCTCACTCCTTTCCGGAACGGTGAACATAAGCCAGCTTCTGATCACATGCTTCTACACGAGAATGCTGACAGAATACCGCCGGGTCCACGGATCTGGCCTTTACTGAGTAATTCCAGCCTCGGTATTCTGAGTAATTCATGCATCGGCTCCCTTTTACCCAGTTTCATTAGATAGATTTTTTGAGCTGCTTTCTCTCCTTCTTGCGTCTTCTCTTTCTAGGTCTTGTGTTCGTTGCTAGAGGTTTGTTAGGTTGTAAATGACGCCTTGTCAGTCTCAAGGGCGCGCCGGATTCGGCTTTCTGGCCAAGCGCCTTTCAACGCACCCCCACACCCCCACATCCCCTTTCTCTTGGTTTTCTTTCGTTTGTTCTGTTAGGCTTCTTCTTCATGTTTAGGCGCGTTTAGTCGATCCGCTACCCCACACACAACCCCCCCGCTTTCGTTCTCTCCTGCCCTTTGTTTCTCTTTCTATGCCTCTCTCTCTCTTCTAGATGTTTTTTGGTTTGTACCCAGGTGTTTAAATCAAGTGTGCGCCGCGCGTGTACCGCTCTTCCTTTTGGAGCTGCTTTCCTTTCTTTATTCGATTTCTCTTTCTAGGTCTCTTGTTCGTTGCTAGAGGCTTGTCAGGTTGTAAACGAAGCCTTTTTGTCAAGTGTGCGCCGAATGTGTGTGAGCCAACCCCTGTTCCAAAGGGTTTTCCATAGGATCCCTTTACATCAGCAGGGGGCAAGGCCTGCAGCGATGAACCTTGTCCAAAGCTAAATCGCTGGAGGGGAAGCGGATGGAGAACTTTTTTGAACCTCTTGTTCTCGGCCCTTTATGAGGTTTGTTTCCAGGTTCCAGGTTGTTTCTGCAGCAAAGTGCTAGTGCATCCGGAACTCAGTAATTGATTGAATGCTCGGTCCGTTGAGCTTTATATATATAAAATATCAGCTTCTTCGTGTTGTTATTCTTTGGCTGTTCTTTTGCTTTCTTTGCTGCTTGTTTGTTTCTGACGTTTGCCTCTGCTTTTGCATTTTAAACCGGCTCATTTGTGTGTCTATTTGTTTGTTGCTTTGGTTGCTTTGATTGCTTTGCCGCTCTTGCTGCATTTTCTGATCTTGTTGCTTCTGTTGATTTTTGTTACTGTTTGGCCTACTGCGCTGCACGTGTTGCTGTTCGGTCTACTGCACTGCTGCGCAACTTGCACACACTCGTGCTTCGTCTATTTTTCCAAGTTACACAAACCCATATTGGACAGAGAAGCCTCAATGCTTTGCACACATGTATGCCATGGTTGTTTTGCGGTGTTGGTGGGATAAGACATTGGAGTACAGCACTGCTTACATGTGGTGCTCACAAGCCGCTAAGTGAGAGCGAGGAGCTTACGAGCCACCTGAGGGTCTAATTTAGAGGAGGTAGGGGCCACTCCAATGTAGCAGCCCTTCTGTGAGCCACCCGACAAAAAATAGAGGAGGAAGGGGCCAGAGGACAACATGTAGGAGGTAGGATCCTCCCGCGGGTAAAATTTAGAGGGGGAGGGGGCCATTCCGAGGTAGCAGACCTTTTGTGACCCCAAGGTAGCGGGACCTATTGTGGGCCACCCGAGGGTAAAATTTAGAAGGGGAAGGTGCCATTCCAATTTAGTAACATGCCTGTGTGCGCAACCCCAACAAACACCACCAAAATTGGAGAAACAAAAACCCATGACACAAGCAGCCGCACACAAAAACATCCAAGCACGCGCCCTTCCCCCAGCCTCCCTCCGGCGCCACCAAAACAACGTTTTTTAATGTTAACCTCGCTCCACTGCACCGGTCACCAATGCGAAATCTGCACCACGTCTCCCAACTTTGCTTGTTACGACAGCTGTTACTCTTAAGTGTCAGCCCTGCTGCCGAATTTGTTTCTGTTTAAAGCTCAGCCACTCACCCGCCTTGTGTCCGCAGTGCATTTCCTTTTAAGGGAGATTAGGTTGTTGCAAGCAGCAGCCAAGTGTGAGCCCCACAGATTTGTCAGTTCTCCAAATAAACAAGCAAAGTTCACCCTTTGTTCGCCATGGAGTGGCCAGGCTGAGGATGTGCTTCCAGTGGAAAGGCCTGACAACGCCTCTAGTTTGACGATGGGGCAGATCCCCTGGAAGATCCCAGCCACTCCTCCCGCAAGTCGTCGCCCTTGAGACCTCGAGTTGATCAGACCGATCAGACCTCGCTGAGACATGTGAGATGTTGTGATCATACAGGAATGCATGTTCAAAGTTGGTCTAGCTGCCTTCTGAGGGGTAATCAGTGGAGCAAGATGGTTTTATGATGTTTTATGTTGGTTTTAATGCCAAGGTTGTTCAGCTGGTGCTTCGACGTGCATTGCCTCGCGAATGGGTACACTTTCGGCAATGGCACTACAAGGAGCCTGGCAGAAAACAGTTGACAGATGGAGGTCTTTACGAACATCGGGGGTCAAAACCTTTGCCGCCATGTGTGGGATGAACATGACGGAGTTCGTGCTGTTTGGACCGAAAATCGATAAGGACAAGTCGCTCATGCAAATGTCGGCGTGCTTCGTGGGGGTCATCGCCGGCCGGCCATGCGTCTTCACTGCCTTGGTCACCGAGAGCCACAACTGGATCCAGCGATCTTGTCGAAAAGGCGCGACAAAAACTGGAGGACCAGCTTTTTACTGATGTGTTCGACATGTGTTCACAAAATACGCTTCACAGTTTGCTTTGTAACAACCTAGTTTTGAACCAATCCCGGAAATCCCTGCGATAGTTCGCAATTATTACAGATAGAGAGCTTATCGTTTTTTGTATATAGATGCTCGTTTGATCTTTTTCAGCATGTGATGTGTACTTCAAACACGAAAAAACATTGAGAAAAACATGTGGGTAAGGGCACGCCAAAACCCGAGCTAGCCGGCCCAACAGATGCTTTACATTTACATAAAAGACATGAAATAAGTCATTTGGACAGGTGACAAGCTCGGCTGTTCCCAATCAAAGTCATGACAATGTCAATGTTGCCAATGTCGAAGACCCGAATCGCTATGTGCAGAGTTTCTCTGTTGAGAAACATAATCATAACGCATACAAGCTTGCATACACACAATACCTCTGAGACATGACTGCACCCGGCGAGTGCACTCTGACCGGAGGGCCATGGTCATTCACGATGGTGGTTGAAAACGAGCTGAACAAATGTGTTCAATGCTTGGACAGATTCCCCAAGCTACCAGAGGAATGAACAAGCGCTTATGCTCAAAGATCATGTCGCTCATCCTCGTATAAGAACAACAATAGATCGGGATGACTCCTCCAAATCCCAACCCCCCAATGGGCAGTACTCACTGCCCCCAGCCTTGCGCGATGCGGTCACCGTCGCAGAAAACCGCGACTGACCAGACCGGACGGCCTGGGAGGCGTTGATGGACACCCGACGTGCCAAGGGTGGAACCAGGCGCGGCGGTGCTGGCAAAGGAGGAACGCAACGACATGTTCTTGGCAAGAAAATCATCATCTAAATAAATAAATATACAATAATAAATATATATATATAATATATTTATAGATCTAAACGGTTTGAAGACATTGAATACCAGATACATTGTGACTGGAGAGCACACGAACCATTGCAATATGAATGTATATATAGAGATGTGTGGTAATTATATATATATATATTTTTATTGCTTATTATATACTATTATAATCGTTATAGTTTCTGTGTGTTTTTTGCATTTACTGTTATAACCTCTACCTGGGATGATTGCACGGGCTGACTTACATGTTTCAAGTGAGTTGGTTGAAATGCCCAGATAGATGACATATCATACCTGTACATATACAGTATATATATATATATATTTACACAACTATACACAGTGACATTGTTTTCGTTTGTTGGTTTCTCATGCGTGCTTGCTGGTTTTCATTGTTTTTTTTGCCTTTTCGGAGGGTCGACGGCGATCCTCAGGTCGGCTATCCCCAGTGCTTCCTCAAGCAGAGTCATCGCCGACTCTTTCGAGAACACCGCACCGTGGTGCTTCCAGATTTCCAAGGAACTGGCACCTTGGTGTGAAGACCAGACATGGTTGACGGTTTTTGTTGCCATTATTATGTAACACAGATTTGCTTCAAGAGGCTTAGACTGAGCAGAGTGGCATTTTGTATTGCACACCCGTTAACGGTGCAAATCATCATATTTGATGCAATGTAACAATGCAACATTTCATGCTTTTCATATAAGCCTTTTGAGAAGCAAGGATTTTGGGACGCTCATCCAGGAGCAAGTATATAACTGAAAAGACTTATGGTGCCGCTGTGGTTTTACGGAGCCGGCAAACGTATCCCTTTATACCAGGAATTTTGACCGGGTGTGAAACCACACCAATAGAATTGAATCGAATTGGTGTACTCAATATTTCTGCAACATCACCTTTCAGTGGATCTATCCCCGGCCGGACTGGCTCCACAAGCACCCCCCGGCCCGGTGTCCGTCTTGGGGAAGCTGCCTGTCCCAGGTGTCGCCGGTTTGGTGAGCGATTCCCTCGCGCTCTACTTCCAAGACATCGGGATGGATGTGACCTCGCAGACCGTGCACCCATTCTACGGCTCCTTCAGGTGGGGGGCATCAACGGCCAAGGAGACCAGAAGGTCGATCAACAGCGAAAGAGGTCAGTCACGAAAGGTAGCTTGAGCTACCTGAGTTCTCCTTGCTTTAGCAAAAATGTATTACAATCAGGAGTTGGGATTGTGCATTGAGTTTGGTCCTGTAAGAGTTGATTCTGTTCGTCGGGGGGGGGGGGGGCCCCCCCTCCCTGGATCAAATCCCCCCTGCGCCGGTTCACGCCGTCATGGACTTTTACCAGGGTTGCTTGTGATTGCCTGCTACCTTTCGTTCACCCCCTCCTCTCTCAAGTTTGCTTGGCCAGGACTGCAACAACAAACTATCGAGGTGGTGGGTGATGTGTTGGAAACAAACACCTGTAAGCCCAGACGGTGCCTGCGGCCTCCACGTCCGGTCTCGCGACATGCGATCGCCATCCCTGTCAGGGACCAGTCGCCGTTCTGGAGGCCTCTTCCTACCAACCGTATGGAGAAGAGTGTGGCTCAGCCTGGAATCTGTGATGTGATCGGTGGGACAGGTGCTTTGAGATGGCGATGCTAGAATGTCATGCAGTTAAAAGACATGACAAGGGACACCATATACCCCAATACGCTAGGCTAGGCAGCCTGCACAACAATTTATATACGTGCAAAACTTATGCCCATTTGTGCAGTGCTGTGCAGGTCTCCACATTAGATGGAATATAGACTTGCAAGAAAGGAGAAGTGAGTCTTTGCTGCCCAGGGTCTGAAGGGCAACTTGAAGTATTCCCACGCAGGGTCCTCAGACTTCTCAAGTTTTTGGCCGTGAGCAGTCTTGAGAAGTGGAGCGACATGTTTCCCCGACAGCCTTGCCCATGTGTTGATGCATGGTTTTTGCGCTTTTTTGCGGCATCTATGGTGTGCTTACGGCAAGTAACCTGAATTCAACAACAACACTTTCAACAATTACCGCAATGTTCGCTACGAACGGGGCTGGCATCGCTACGAACGGAGCGATCGGACGCTTCGTGGGTTTCGGAGCTTTTGATTCGGCCGATCGATCTCCGAGGTGTTCGTTGGAGCTTATCGGCCTGATGGCACGAAGGATGAAGCGCGTGAGCAACAGCTCAGGACGGAAGCAAATGGAAGCAACACATAGCAGCGCGGCCTCATGACCAAATATGGGGAGAAGAAAGAAGTTTGTACATGTGTTTGTTGTTTTCTTCTCCATGTGAAGCCCACACACACAATTTGACATGATATTGGTTGAAGATGGTTGAAGTTTGAACGTCATGGCTCAAAAAGACAACCCGTGACATGGTTCGAATTCGGACTCAAGGAAGATGGTGTGAAGATTCTTGCGACTCCTTGCATTGCCGAAAGGAACGTGTTATGTTTGGCCTTTGGCTTTCTTGCTGGTAAAGCTTTCATAGAGGGACTCTACATGAGTAAGTGTAAATAAGTGGAAGTAGATTGAGCACTTGCTCAAGGACACGACGTTTGGCTGCCCAGACGGTGTCTCACGGGTTCAACCTTTGGTAAATATGCCAAAACCAGTTCAGGGTCAGATCATGTCAGACCTTCGATAGACTGTTCTGCTCACTTGGATGTTGACCCGGGCCAACTATTCGAGAAACATCCCCAGCGGCCGCATCGCATCCGCATGCAGCCAGGAGTCGGGTGTCCATCACCATGAATCAAAGCGCTGCCATCACCTCAGCAGACGGAATGACTGATAGTTGCCGGTGGAATGCTTTGATTCAGCACTTTCAAGATCATGTTTAATCTAAATCTATGTTTACTTGCATGCAGGAAGCTCAGGAAGACACGTACATATTCCATACATGGAGTCTATGAACTTTGTCCCATCATTGCTGGACCCTATATGACTATAAACATTGTGGCGGAATTCTCTCAGAGATCAAGGTAAATAAATTTGTGCAACATTCTTCGCACAAAATCCACCAGCGTCAATTGTTTGGAGATCGCTCGAAGCTCCATCGTGAGGTCCTGCAAGACGAAGAAGTCCCTGAACTGTCTTGAGACGCGAGCAGCGAAGAAGAAGAGGCTGGGGGCCCCCTGCTCTTGGCCTGGCGGTTGACCGTGTACTAGCGAATCATTCTCTGAGTTCAACCGCCAGTCAAGGAAGGTCCATCTCTCGTAACCTCCCCACAGCTTTTGGAGGTGAACAGGCGGCCAAAAATACCATTAGAATAACTTTGCCATTCAGTTTTTAATGATCTGTATATTAAAGGCCAAAAATGAAAAGACTAAATTACAAAAATGAATTGCAAATAATTCATGACCTTCATTCTAATATTATAAGCTATATCTGGGAGCAGCCATTCTCTCTGCTTTTCTTGGTTATCTACAGCATTTGGTTTATGGGCTGGCCACAGAATAAATATCATAACGGTGGACCAATAATATCCTACATCATTTATTTATTTGTGTTTATGGGCGATTATTTGTCATGGGTTTTCTTAATAATAATCGCCAATAAGAAATACATATGATGAGGATATGATTTTAATATGATGGAACCCACTAGCAAAAATTAATGCATTAAAAATTTGGGTTCCATCACCAATAAAGATAAAAGACAAGGAAATGATGGGCGTGTTATTCTTTTTTTAATGATATCTTTAAATTAGCAAGCCCATAGAATAAATATAACGTGAACAGGAAATTTAAGGTGAACTAGCCTATAGCCCCACCAATATATGAATTAAAATTGGTGGATGTGATCACTTGTAAATACAGAAGAACGAACAGAAAACAATATATAGCCTTCATTCTAATAGAGAAAGCACATAATAAATCCAATCCTTATAATTCATTTCAAGGGTTAACCGATGGGGCACAGTGGCTCGCCTGGGATTCCTTGGGCCCCTTCTTGGATCTGGGGCCCCCTGCTCTTGGCCTGGCGGTTGACCGTGTACTAGCGAATCATTCTCTGAGTTCAACCGGCAGTCAAGGAAGGTCCAACATTCCCCTAGACGCGAGCAGCATTACACGCACTGAAAGAATCATGGTTGCGTGGGTGGCATGGCCCCGAAAGGATGTCCACACACATTGAACTCCACATCCACATCCATTGATGTGTCAGGGAGTGTAAATTAGATGCCAGTTGCGTCGGCCACTCACTGTGGCCCTATACTGGGCCAGATTTCTCCTCATCGAAAATCGGAAGCCCAGAAAGGTCCGCACCTGACTATGTCTTCCGCACAGATCAGCTTCCAAAGGAGCTCCCATAAAGCAAAAATTCACATGATGCAAACTTAAGTTTCACGGAATATAGTAAAATAACATGAAGAGTACAGTAGTGGTGTTTCAAGATCGCCCCAGCCTCCACTTATGCTACACACCTAAGTCATTTCAGAAAAGTCGGACTAGAGTCAAGCTCAACAGGGTCTTTTTTCCCCGTAGGGACAGTGGGAATCTCGTTTCATGAATGAGCCGTAGCATGCCGAAGCCATGTTCATCGACAAATGGGCATGGGCCCATCCGGGATGGGTCTTTTCACCTGGAGCCCTGGTCCACCATGTAGCTTGACCACCCAGGTACTGATAGGTCAAGCAAGGTATTCTGGTATTAACCCATCACAGATGCCAAAAGCCAAATAATCACAAAATACAATAGCTTTACGATGACCTATGCAGCTGGTAGTTGCAACAAGAACTAGGATGATGTCAGATCTATGATCTATGTTGTCGGAAATTGCTGAGGTCCAATCCGTCCAGCAACGAACTCGCAACCGAGGCCGCGAGACCGTTCAAGGTGGGCGCTATCTGAGCCTCTTGGGGGGGGGCGCAAGGTCATGGGGTGAATCTTGTGCACGCAACAATCTGGCCGAGCTGCCGTGAGCAGCGGCCCAGATGTTTCCGATGCTTCCGGCTGCGCAGCCGATGCAAAGAAGGGGGGCTTGTCTAATTTCTTGCTTTGCTATAACTTGTTAAATAGTGTATACTATAGCGTATATATATACACATATTATATATCTTTGGCATGTGGCGCTCCCCCACCATGAGCTGGGGTTGGCAGATCCATGGTATTTGGTGGTATTATGTTATAGGATGATCATTATGTGCGAGGTTGGTGCGGCAAGAACATGCTCCGGGTCCAGTGGATGGTGATTTGGCTCAAGGCTGAGCTGGGTTATTTGACCCGTGTGGCCGGGACCCTCATCATGGATATGTTGCCGGAAGAGCTTGTGGGTGACATTGCAGCGAGCTCCTGGATGGCCAACTGAGTCTCCAGCGCATCCTGCAGACTAGGCAGACTGAGCACGAACGAATGCACTCGTTCGGACCTCTCAGAATGTGGGTCCGCACCTTGGGATTACTTTGACAGAGGCTTTTGAAGCACGACCTTCTCAGCGATCTGAGTGCAGCTGGTCCTGGACACTGCTAGATGGCTCCTTTCGCCGGAGAAGATGGGAATTCAATGAACGGCAGTTGCCCAGGCATGGTGGAAGGCCGATTCCTTGGTTGACAGTCCACAAATGCAGTTTCCTAGGATGTTCATGGGCCGGCTTGGTGACAAGATGTGACAACCCAGAGGCTCAGAGGTGAAATGCGCATGTGAAGCGGGAAGACACCAATGCGGAGAAGTACTCGAAACTTGGAACCTGAGTCTCCGCGGGCCATCAGGGCAGGTGGAAGGCTTTGGAGCATCAGCCCTGCTCCTGGCGGCATGACAGGCAGCATAGGGCCTGCTTGCCCCTACCAGCTCCTGGTACGCTTGGACGCCGCGCGGCAAGCATTGATTGTCTGTGGGTATGTATATAATATGTGCTGTTGACGCAGATCAGCTTTTGAGTTGGAGGCCCGACACGGAGATCCGGGGACTTCAGGTCGCTTTGGTCGAGGCCGCATTCAGCCGCCCAAAAGCCGCCGAAGACAAGGTCGAGGCCAACACGGCCAACGGCCAGCACGCTTTACGCAGTCCACCGGCTTTGCTTCAAAGCCTCCACCGGGTGCCACCGGTGGTCCACCAGGTGCCATCGGTTTTTGGTCGCCGGCGGTGCCGGGCGCGAATGAAAAAGGGCCTTCTCGCCCCAATGGAGGGCCTTGCCGGTGGCGTGAGGTCGCTGGCCCATTGTGCAGGGGAATGCGCCTTGCAAGTTTCACTTTGGAATGACGAAGGCAGCAGGAGAGAGATATAGAGAGAGAAGGAGGAGGGAAAGAGAGGAAGATAGATAAAGACGGATAGAGACTGACTATAGCAACTGCATTTTTTGCATGGCCAGTTCCTCCGCTTTCGGACGGGTTCGGCTCAGATGCTCTCTCCATTGGATGGTCTGATGATGGGTCCCTTTGCCCTTTGCCAAACTCGGTTGCATGACGCGACATGACGTCATAAGAAAGTCTTTTCTTGTGATTGATTCTAGAAGGGTACAATATGTAAATAAATAAATATATATATATGATATGTAAATGATCTAAACGATTGTGATACGTTGATGCAATCATGAATATCATGAGACAAGGACAATGGAAGTTTTGGTAAATAGCACGACTCTAAGGATAGTGTTTGAAACTTTGTCAATGCTAAAGTTGTGGGTTATGTGATGTTGATTGGTTGGCAGTCTCCATGGATTTGTTGTTGCATTTCTCTTGGTTGCCCATTTAAACGTAAGATGTTGGCATGGACCCTTTGTGAAGCCTGATGCACCCAGCCTCCAATGGCTGCTCATAATGGAGCTCTGTGGGCCTTGTGTAGCCTCTTAGCTGAAGATCTTGGGTGGTTTGGAATCGATGTGGAATTGAGCCGAGTGCAACATCCTTCTGCCCCAACTGTGGCCAGCACCGCCAACAACAACCAAGGTGTTTATATAGTTTGTTCTTCCAATGAGTGGGCGTGCATTGGAGCAGACCGTTGGGCCCTCGCAAAACCCAACGTCCACGTAAATTGTCGCACTCCGGACTCAGTCCGACGTGAGCGATTTTGTGGCTCCGTGGCGCCAATCTTTGTCAAAACCCCTTTGTCAATGCTGCATGATATGTCCTATCATTTCCTCAAGGGCTCAATTACTATATGCTCAATTCTGTGCATGAAGCTGTTTTGTTTTCTTTTTTTCTTCTGGTTGCTCAGCATGTGGGGAGATCAAGGAGAGTGGATCATGGAAGGAGTACAGTCCAGTACATATCCGTCATGCTGGAGACAGCTGTTATGATATTTTACGTTCACTACTATATACGTAGTTCTCACATAATTATGTGTATGGAGGTCCTTGCACGCCCTACACTTACACGATCCATGGATGCCAAGTGGGAGGCAACCCAAGTGACATGCGGAAGATGGATCGTTTTTTGGCCTTATGAGGCCTTGCTCCACCGACGTCCATGGCTTTGGGGCTTGGGCTCTCAGGGTGACGAAGCCTTCAGTTGCGGAAAGACAGGCACACTCTACACCCGGTGTTCATGAGGCCCGATTGAGTGTGACTTCATGACTCAAATCTCTATTGTGAAGATGGGATGTTAGAGGATGCATTCTACGCAGTTTTGCCAACATTATTTCGGCCAGTTCAGACTCTCAGCTGGTATTTTTGAGACGAGATTTCTTGAGCCTCCATGTTTTGCGGGAAATCATGGGAATGGACAGCTTCACAAATCTTCAAGCTTAAGATCGTTTCCAAGCGACGCACCCAAGTTAGAAACAGATCAACCCACACTGGCAGGGTTTGAATGAAGTGCCTTTCCTGCCCAAGACCGGTCCTGAAGTCGTTCGATTTCGCTTCACCGATGAGGTTTGATTATCCCGACCTCAGCCTTCATGGCTTTGATCTTTTGCGATGCATTTGGTTTGCCGCTTCCTCGGTCGTTCACTGCTTTTTGTGGGGTAAAGCATATGAAACATCTTTGGAAACTACAGTATGGATTTGCTTTTCCTTTCACAACTGCCAACTCCAAACTCTGTATGGCCTTGGCACGCCCTTGTTCAAGCTAAGGTACTCACAGTACTTGGTATCGTGCCTTGGCTGGCTCCAGAAGAGCTCGTGCTGTTTTTAACGCTAGGCCACTAGGTGTTAATGCTGGGAGACTTAATGTTTATATCAGGACAAGTCTTGTTGACGTAGTATGGGTGTGCAGTCGAATAGGCCACTGAACGCCACTTCGACGGCACGGGCCACCACCCCCAAGGCAGTCTGGAGAGGTGGGTGTGCCGAGTTGTCACATTCGTCGACGCGAGACGGAGGAAAACTGCGAGACAAACTTCCAGACTCTGAACGTGTCGAGCTGTGCACTGTAGTGTGTTCCATCATATGCAGCCTCCTGTGGAGTGATTTGCATCATTTATGGCCCTGTACATCCATAGAATTATGCCGTGTTTGTGAGGCTTGCATTCCCAAAAGTGCACTGAACAGAGGCCCTCCTCCCTCCAGCCATGCGTGAAGCTCAGATTTGTGCTGGACATTCGGAAGTGAAACCGGTTCAACATGAAGCTGGAGCTGTTTTAAGGGCCTATGAATTTCCACTGTGTTGCCTCGAGATGTTATTTTAGCTAATTTTAGCTACTTTACTATATATATTGGTCTTTTGGTGGGTTCCAACTCATCGCGGCGCGTTATCAGGTCCGAAGAGGTCGATGTAATGACCACAGAAACGGAGACGACGAGTCCGGCCGGCGAGGCCGGCGACACTGGTCGTTTGTTGGGTGTAGTTTTTGCAAGACATGGGAGCCAAAGACTCAAGACCATGGTTTTGGTGTGATCGGCATAGCTGGATCATGGGTGACTGGCTCAAGTGTTTACCATGTAAATGTTCGCATGCTTAGCATGTATACATACATTTAGACAGTAGATCACCCCGCAAGCCTGATGGTCCATGCACTGATGGCCTCAGATCTTTGAATCAATCTATGACTGATCATGTGTTGGATGTGGATGATGATTGCTTTGTTTGGGCATGTGCTGGTATCTATCTTTCTGAGCTTTGGGCTCGAGCATGACACGGGCCTAGCGCGCCATGGGCACAAAGCAGCGAAAGGCCGCCTTGGCAGCTAGACAGGGGTGCACTCTGACTGACTCATCTGACTCACTAGCATGGTGGATTGCTTGGTCCCGACGAACAGACACGGTCATTTCCACTTCCATGTTAGTGAAGTGATGTGAAGACTGTGAAGTGTAAGTTGGGGACCTAGCGACTGGCCTTGCTGGCCAACCTCCACTTCAACTGACCATTTTTAGCGATTTCTCATCGCTTTTCCACCGCAGGCGCAGCGAAAGAGGCAGGTTGGCCTTCACGCCAAACGGCTGAGTGAACATGACAGCCGGACCAAGGCAGCTGCGACTTTGGGCCGCACCCCGTTCGTAGCGTCCGAATCGCTCCGTTCGTAGCGATGCCAGGAGCCCCGAAGGCTAGCGTTCTTGTTCCTAGTAAGGCCAGGAGCCCCCAGTTCCTAGCATTGGTTTGGGCCAGATCTCTGGCGAAGAACGCTAGCCTAAGTGGTACTAAGTGGTTGGGGCCGACTTCACGCTGGACGGAGTGGAGGGTGCTGGTAGTCACTAGCATCTAACAGCTCAAGCCGTGTGGCTTTTCACAGCGGAGATGACATTGGATAAGCCATATGAAGCCACATATATAGTTCTGAGCATGTTGCATCATTTGTACAGGCTTTACTGTCCTGAAACTATTCTGCAGCATGGCTGTTTGTCAAAACCTGGGGGCCATGAAATGGTTGACCACCGAACATGAACCAGAATAGATGACCAGCCACGTCAATCTAGAGTTTGGAGCTCCAGGTTTTGACCCACAGCCATATGACTTGGGTATGGTTTTTGTTCATTCCTTGGGCAAAGTTGCTGGTGTCAACCGGGGTCTCGGACTCAAGATCTTATAAAGGAGCTGCAGTACCACAATTGTAGCCACTTGTAGATCAACCGAAGGAGCATGCTCGGATCTTCTGTCTTGGACCTTCGGGTTTTGACCACCCACAACGCACGTGCTCGCGTCGTGCGTCGGACATGCTGAGGAAGGCGAAGGCAACAATCAAGACGCTCGTTTGCCAAGCAAATCTTTGCAAGACCATGCAGGACCTAGAATTCTGTAAAGCGCTTCTAGAACGCCTTTTGTCGAAATTTTTCATCACAGCGGTGGTTGTATAGGCCCAGGTATATACTGCACGTGAAATATGAGCTGCTGAGGCAACAAATGGCTATGATCCGACCCGATTCGGATTCGACTGCCGAGGAAAAAGAAGAAGGACGACCAAGTCAAGGAGGCTCCTAAGGCCCACTCATCGTTGTTCTTCCAATTCAACTCGAATTTGAAGCCGCCCTATCAGCTGCCTTGGACTTAGTGTAGTGGTGATGTGCAAGAATGGATGTGATAGACGTCCGGACGCACTGCGAGAGAGTGTTGTTCAAGGTTGCTGGACACAAACTTCATCAACATGTCCATCCAAATGAAGCTTGATATTTTCAAGTCTGCGATGGAATGTTTGCTGGCAAAGTGCGTGCCGTGCATCACAGACTGCGACCTGATTGCAACGGCTGCGCAACTGCTTTGAAGAAGCATGTTTGACGGAACTGAAGGAACGGACCTCCCACGCATGTGACTGAGCATATTGCGAGAAATCTCTAAGTTAAACCCAGATTGTCAGCACTGTAAATGAGTATAGGACCTGGAAAGTGACCTGGAAGCCAGTGAAACCCAAATCAAGCTCAGTTGGATCTTGGTTGATGATTGGTTTGGGTTGGGCACGCCAAAGACTGTATAAATGGTAGCCAGCTCCATCACATTCCGGAATTTGTTGGGCCATAGCCACTTGGTGTGAACCCCCATGTCCCATCCTTTGGGTGAGTTCTGGGGTGGCTACCCAAGCCAAAGCCTGGGCCACCACATGCAACCACGTGAGTCATGAGGTGTGTACGGCGAGCTAGAGAAGCTGGGCACTCGCCACCGCTTGGCCTTACGCTTGGCGAAAGACCCGCGTGGCTTGGCTTCCAGCATGGGCATTTTGTCGCGCCAAAACACCCCTCATTCTGTTTGGGGTGCTGATGTTGGGTGCTGAGACCATATGTTATCATATGTTGTTTCTTATGTGCTATTGTCGTTTTCTTCTTGTGTGTGTTTGTGTGTGTGTGTGTCGTCTTAAGGCCGGGGGAGTAGGCCGCTATAGGAAGAGGTATAGACAAGTTATAGTGCAAGTTTTTTGTAGCCGTTAGGTACTGGACGCTCCTAGGCATGACACGGGACAGCTCGCGCTAATGGTTCCTAGAGTTTATTTGAACTAGTGACACTGACAGCTTAGTACCATTTCCCGCATTTTGGGCCTAGGGTTCAGCTGAGGCTTCCAGCGGCTCACCTGTCAGCATAAGGGCATTTATGCCGATGACTGCATCCACTCGAGGGTCGAGGCACACAGATGTTATATCGTTTGCACCAACGACAAGGACCTGAAGCGCCGAATCCGCAAGGCCGTTACCTGAGCGGCGTGAGCAAAGCGTTGGGCGTTGGTGCTGGTAACGGGCGCGGGGCTTTGCGGCGTGGTGGAACGTGGGTTTTGGGTGTTTCGGGTGGAGGTGAGTGGGGATCACAGACACTAGTAACTGTTCATTATAGTTGCAGCTAGTTGAAGCTGTAAGTGTGATGAAGTTTAAACATAGCGAGGAGTCAAGAGATAGTACCAATTTGCTATTATATGGTAAGTACTCGGACGACGCAGGTGCCAGGGGTGCCGATCATGTCAGTGGCTCGCGGCATGTTCAAAGTGGAGCGTGTTCCGGAGCAGATCGACAAGGTGCCCATCAAGCCCCTCAGCTCAGACCTTGTCAGATTGAAACCGTCTCAGCAAAAAAAGGGTCCAAGGAAGCGGGATCAGAATCCACCTATATCCACCTTTGTTGCTGAAACATGTTTCTCCCAGAATCGAACTTGGATGACTGGATGTTGACCTGTTCGATGAACAGCTTGATGCTTGATTAGCAGAGAGCAGGCAGACGCTCAGGTCCAATTGGGGCAAGGACAAGTGAGCAGAAAGCGAGTTGGGATTGGTGGTGTGGCTGCGACTTCTAAGACGGCCCGCGGCCAAAATGCCAGTGCGCTGCGCGGCCCGCGTGCGAAGCTGTGCCTGTTCCGTGAAGGTGTGGCCTCGACCTGACGAGTCGCATAAGTTTTTGGTGGGTCTCGTGCCAATATATGCCAATATGCTAGAAATGAAGCCCACCTATGATTTCACATGATTTCACGATATTTCAAGGTTTGGTGAACCACCCCTCTAATGTTCTATTCTTGATTGAAACCCGAGCTGGTGCAGGGCAGCGTGGGAGTGTGAAGGGCATTGCCCATAGACTGGGCGGTGGCGATCGGCGATCAAAAGCACTCTGGCGTCCAGGAAGTGCGAAAGCCTGCTGAGTGCAAGGCAGGACCACAAAACAATGTGGAGAGCGATGCACATGTCGGTGACTTTCGATGATCTAATTAGCAATCTAGCTGATATCCTGGAAGATCCTTGGAAGCACTGGTATAGCACTGCATGAATGGTAGAACCCTATCGCATATGCTGCTATGCATCCTCACATCGAAACGAAGCATCCTTGGCTCGGTTCCTGCAGCAAAACACCCATCCAGTTCGCCGCTGTCACTAACCAGCTAGCCGAGGTGTTTCTTTGGCTCCAGGACTCCAGGTTGTGGTGCACATTGGACAGTTCATACTTAATAAATCTTAATAAGCTACTAGGAACAAGAGCCTTACTAGTAGTAACAAGTGCCTTACTAATAGTAACAAGAAGCTATTAGAAACAATAAATAGGTCATGATTTCCAAAGCATCAACTGCAGAGCTACGCTGAAGTAATCGATCCACTGCTGCTTTACCCGTGCCATGTGCAGATCATGGAATTTAGCAGATGCATACGTAATTCAATGTTATCCAGAACGCAACATATCAAAAACAGGCGGCTGCCGAGCCATATTTTGCAAGTTTGACTCGACCTGATTCTACCGCCCTCCACCACAGCCAGCTTGATCATGCATGAACTAAGCAAAGGGTGAGTCAAAGCTCATGACCCAATGTGATGATCTCGGTATGGCACAGGCCGGCGTCCAAGAGTAAACATTTGAGTCAGAAGATTGATCAGAACATATCAGAACTTTTTTCCGAATGGCTAAACTATTATAAAAGGCGATGGGAGAGGGAGAGAGAGAGAGAGAGAGATAGATCAGAACTTATTTGGTGAAAGTTTTGCAACATCTCAGCAGCTCTCTCACAGGAAATCTAAGCTGTAACTTTTGGGACCAGCTTTGGAGCTGGATTGGACCGCACTGACCCAACCTTCACGTGTGCAAAAGATCGATGACTGGACGATTGAGCGCCCAAAGGGTTGTTCCTATGGATCATGTTTAGCATAAACCAATGTCCTCCACTTTTTTCAACGGATCATGATCATGATTTATTAATCCCTTTACTGTATTGATTGCTTCTTACAGGCGGTAGGGTTCACGTCTTCCTGCCCAGGCTTTGCCGAGGATGCTGCTGCCGCCGCCACAACGCTGCCACTCAGACCACTGCGGTGCCGTTTGCAGATCATGTTGATCATGGGAAGGCGCTGGTGGCCACAACAACTGCACCGACTTCAGACGCGTTGTCTCGCAGTGAGTGCCGAGAGCTCATCGAAGCACAGCCCAAAGAGGAGGCGCCGCGGCGCTGCCTGACTGGGGATACTGGGTTATTTTTACTAGTGGATGAGGAGAGAGGGAATGAGAATGTCAGTCCCGACCGTGACCTCCATGCCGGAGAATCTTAACCCACAGCAGAACAGAATAATATCTTTAACATCAGGGTAACGAGTCGCAGTGCATTTTCCACGGGTTTGCAACCATGGGTCGCACTTGTTGCATCCCGTGTGCAGTGCTTGGACAAGTCCATGTCGACCTGCCGCATTTGCCTGGAGCCAGCGGACGTAGAAGACTACCAGGTGGGCCCGGGGCACCGAGTGGTGTGGCGCTGGAGAGACGATGTTCGATCGGATTCGCAGCCTTCGGCGGAAAACCATCTCGGGCGTTGAAAGAATGTGGCTCCCTGCTCCGGAGGCGCAAAGGAACACAGGGCAGAATATGCAGTGCATGCTTTGAAAGATTGCATTCTGCTTCATGTTTGACTTGCCGGAGTCTTCTGACAGACCTGCCAGAAGTTTAATTATTGACCCTACCCGGCCCTATCCACTTCTTCTTGACATAGAGAACGCTCTTCGGAGTTTCCTACCTTATGAACTTGCGGACACCTCCGCTGATAAAGAACAGCACACGTTGGGACGCGGCGCAGAAGAATTATAGATGTATATATATATAACTCTGCACCGTGCGAGCACATTGCCACGGCCAGGTTTGTGCCTGCCGCGGCTCGTAGCTTGGATCCGGTGTGTGGACGTGGTGGACGTGTCTACCTGTTTGGGAGATGTACCTGCAGGGAGTGTTTCAGAGAGGTTTTGGACGTCATCGTGTGCAGACTTCAGGTTTGACATGCACTGTCTATGTGCTTGACTTGCTGCATGAACATCATGTGTGAAAATTCATGCATCTGTGAAAAAACCGGCTGTGGCCAACTTGCCAAGAGTGTTTCATTGTTGCTTATTAGCTCACAATTTGCAAGTCTGTCCTTTCCTTCCAAGATGCGTCTTGGTTTGGAGATATATCGTTTGTTTGTTTGTTTGTTTTTGGGGTACCTTAGATTCGACCCGAGATTCAATGACTTGGCTGGACCAAGGCAAGGCTTTGCACATCTCCAATGCTTAGCCGATTTGGCCTCAAGCAAATGGCCATCCCTGGAGCCGTTCCCTGGTTGTTTTTGAGCTGATAGATGCCCTGATGGATGAATCGCCTGGAGAGCTGTTGACTTCTGTCAACACATATGTGCTAATGTACTCATTATTGTTCAATATTGAATCAATATTGATATAGTACATGAATAGGTTGGAGGCCATTGCTTCTAGGTTGGACGCCATCGCTATTAGGGTGGAGGCCATTTATTTGTTTAGGGCCTAGGGGTTGAACTTTCCAAGGCGCATTGGCTCCATCTCCAGGGGCAGAACTGGATGGGCGGTGAATGGAAACCTCTGAATATCATGACTAAGCAGAGGGAGCAAAGGGGAGGACAAGAAGCATGTAGTTGTTATCATGTTTGGGCTCAGGTGGCGGCAATGTCCGACCTGCAAGCAGAACTATGTCGATCATGTGCGCCTCGCCTTTCATTGAGGAGCATATCAAACCACTTCGGACCCCAAATGGGGAAGTCTCAAGCCAGGAGGCTGACAAATTCAACAGGACAACTTCGCACACCCCTAGCCCCTATAGATTTGTGTTGGCAACCGCCTTGTTTTGGTGTTCTGTTCCTTTGGAGTTGTTGGGCCTTTGCCTTTCCCAAAGAAAGTTGGCTCCCTCAAGGCATTTGGCGCTGAGTCGGGCACTTTGGGAGGTGGTGCAAGACAAGAACGGTGATGTGCAACGGGCGGCAGCGGCACAACTAGGCGGAGTGGAGACAGAGTATGGGCTGTTCAGTATAGTTCAGTATGCTTCCAAGTACTATAGGTGTCTTGTGTATGTGTGTTTCGTCACCTAGCTTCGAGAACAATTCATCTCCAATCACAACTTCGAAGCTAGTACCTTTGGTTTGAAGCTTCGAGCGTGCATTTGGAAATAGCAAGTGCAAACTTCCGCGCAATACCAGCGTACTGCACTGTGGAATCCATACCACGACTGTCTCCCGGGTCTACTGGGTCAGATTTGGAGATTCTGTCTCGTGCGGTGTCCTGTATTCTTTAAAGTTCTTTTAGTATGTCGACTCCGGGAATGATAGGTCAGATCAAGTCAGTGCCCTGACAGGGTGGTCCATGGATAGCCGCATACTTCAATGTTTACATGGCCAAATGGATGAACCAAAGTCCAGAGCATTCGTTGAAGTTTGTTAGGCTCACATGGCTCTCAGCACGCGCTCGGTAGGTTTGGCTCTTTTCGCGAACAGCCAATTTGCAGAGGCTGCCTCATTGGTGTACTCCTTACTTGCTTTTGAACATTAGTCACATTTCAGTTGACGCTGATTGAGCCTCAGACATGTCTCTCGCAGCGAGTGGACCGGGAAAAATTGGAACCCTTTCTATATTCTACTTCCATGTTGAGATGAATAGACTCCAAGTGGTAGCGACGTGGCATTTTGGCCAGGCCGCAGAAATTCATCGGAAGACTTTGGCTTCATCCTTGGAGGCTTTAGGACTCGCTTCCGGAAATCCTCTCAACATCCGACCCAAAAAGGCCTTCTCTTCATGAACATGATGAAACATGATGAAACCTCACATGGTTTTGCCACCAAGTGGGGGCATGATGGGGCATGGACAAAATGTGAAAACATGCCCGACTGGGTGGGGTTCCCAAAACTCAAGTCGGCACAAGCGGGTTCGCATCCAGGATGGGAGCATGCAGATACCCTTGCTTCTGTCCCTTGTCGTGGCTGATTTGTCCCGGGCCTGGATCTCCACAGGGGAACTGGGCATGACACGCGGACACGGGGGGGGGCAGGGCAGCTGGACTTCAAATGCACGCCTTGCTTTTGGCATTTTTTGGCTGTTTTGAACTTTGCCTTTCATTTGAGGCAAACAACCTCGCGCCGCTGGTCTTCCACGTTGGTGCAACTCCGTTTTGTAATGTTTTGTCATTTGTCCTTCAGCAGCTAAATAATGAATACGTTCCCAAATGGAACACCTTGGGGCCATGCTGATTTGGCATGCTGATCAACTGATATTAGCTGTTTTCCTTTGAGTCCCCATGGCGCCCACTGAATTCTCAATTTGGTCGCCCAGGATGGCTTTGCGAGCTGAAGGCAAGGCTTCAGAGGCGGAATTGCTCTACACTGAAGCCATGGAGGCTCCGAAAAGTTGAGCTTTTTGGCTGAGTGCAGCAAATGTATACAGGCAATCCAAGGCCCCAGAATAACCATCAGCCATGATTGTGGTTGCTCATCGGGTGTTTACTCCCAAAATCCCGGCGAGATGCCAGAGGTCATGAAGCGCGTCTTTGGACCAGTTCTTTGAACGCATCGAATATTGAATGTCCCGTGCAAGGGAATGGGAGGGGCAAAGGTTGGTGCAGTTGTGAGCGAAGCAGATCATGAAAAGAGATCCTCAATCAGTATCCACAGTCATCCTCACCGAAAGAATTGCACGAGTTGGATCTAACTGCTGCTTGTGTTTCATTCCTTTTTTGCTGCTTCATTCCTTCTGGTCGAGCGGCCCCCAAGGGTCGACCCTTGGGAATTGGTTGACGGACCTTCGACATCCTTTGACCTTGTTTTTCCAGCTTGTTGGCTGGAGCAAAGGATGCAAAAGGAGAGAGTAGCGGCCAGGCACATACAGTGAATGTAGATGGCACAATC